CCTTATCCGGTCTCCTTCCGTTTGCTGTTATCAACTGACCAAGATATTTAATTTCTGTCTTCAAGAACGAACATTTATCGAGACGTACTTTCAGCCCATACTCCTTTACCCTTTTAAATAAGTTCCGAAGCGATTCATTGTGCTCCTCGAGGGTTCTTCCGGTAACTACGATGTCATCTAGATATGCAGCGGTATTTTGAAGCCCCGCGATCATCGTGTCGATTACCTGTTGAAAGGTCGCCGGTGCTGTCTTGACGCCGAATGGCAGGCGGTTGTACTGAAATAACCCCTTTGGAGTGTTTATGCAGAGCATCTTTTTGCACTCTTCAGCGACTTCAATCTGCAGGTACGCCTCTGCGAGATCGATCGTTGAGAAATAGAAACCACCATTTAATGAAGTGAAGATGTCTTCGGCCGTAGGCAGTGGATGGTGATGATCTTGTAGTATTTCATTTAGACCTGTGCTGTAGTCGGCGCACAGTCTTATCTCACCCGTTTTCTTTTTCACGACGACTACCGGTGCTGCGAAATCTGAGTGTGTGACCGGCGAGATGACTCCGTTGTCGACCAGGCGATCCAGCTCATACTCCAGTTTGTGCAAGCTCGCGTACGGTACTGGACGGCTTTTGCGGAAGACTGGCACTGCGCCTTCTTTTAGTTTGAACGTAGCTTGGGTTTTCGTGCAACGTCCCAAACCAGAACTGAAAACCTCCGGGTAGTTTTCTTTTAGTTCTTTCACGAGTTCTTCCGTAACCTTCTCAAGTTGTTCTCGCTCAACCTGCTGAACGTTGATTGTTTCGCCACCGCCTTTGAGCAAGTTCCACAAGCGTTTGCTCTTCATGAGCCATTCGCACCCAAGAAGTCTGTATGGGTGTTTCACGACGTAGCAGCGCCCCTCGAAGCGTTCCCCCTCTAGCTCAAACGAACATTCGAAATAACCGAGGCAATCTAGCGTACCTTCGTTTGCTGCCCATGAAGTGGACACTCGTGATCAGCCTNACGTCAGCACCGGTGTCCATCCTCATAGTGACTCTCTTATCGTTGATTTTCACCTCCTTAAGTATCTTGCTATCCTCATAAGGTGCGAAATCGAACCCTTGTATTTCGATGGCGTGTATGCGCGAGTTACCACGCCGACCCCGCAGTCTGCTGTGATTTGTTTTCGCGAATTCCGTTCTCTCTCCTTTGCGCTTCTTGAAGCACACTGCTTCTATATGTCCCTTCTTGCCGCAGCATCTGCACACCTTATTNTTCTCTCTCCTTTGCGCTTCTTGAAGCACACTGCTTCTATATGTCCCTTCTTGCCGCAGCATCTGCACACCTTATTCAAGTGTGGACAAGAATCTCTGAAGTGAAGACCTCCGCACCCACGGCATGGATTTGGTGGTTTGTTGGAGTCAACCCTGTAGACAACGTTGGTATTCGCGCCCGCAATTGTTTTCGAAGTTGTTTGTAGTCTTGTAAAATTCTTCACGTGTTGATGGAGCTGCTTCAAGTTCGTTTCAGGATGGTCTTCTACGAATTGAAGCGCTAATTCACGTACGTTGTCATGTCGTCCGTCTTTCAACCCACATATCCATACTAGACACTTCATTTGATCTGGAGTGACTTTCGACATTTCCGAGAGTTCATGCAGTTGATTAACCATGCCCGTGTAATCGTCGAACGTTCCACCACTTGTGTCTTCGCATTTTGTTTGAAGATACTGGTAACGTCGCGAAAATTGCGAGCCCCGATGGCCAAACAATTCCTTTAGCGAAGAAATTGTTTCTCCAAACGAGATTTCAGAATACTTCAGGGGCATTATGTGAGCGTCGTACTTTTGAAACGACTCCTGATCCAGTTTTTGTACGATCAATCTCACCTTGGCCGAATCATCAAGTGATGCCCCCTCCGTATCTAGAATGTTCTCGTAACGGGAGTACCATAATTCGAAAGTCAAACCTGCATCTGGGTTGTACGAAAAATTTGGAATGCGGTTCACCAGGGTAGTCATCGTTGATGCTTGAGTACTTGGATGAGGTTCCGGGCTTCGGAGTTCCCTGATTAGCCGTTTAAACATGGCTTCAACTACTTCCTGGCTGATCATCCTCGTCGCCACTGAGATAACCCTGAGACTGAGTACAATCGTTGTCGTTGGTGACTCAATACTGGGCTGATCTTACAGCCTTTTATTGGTATAGGAATATTCCCGAAGCTATGAGAACTAATAGTCCTCACAGGTACGTTTGTGGTACGGTCACTAATAGTTAACATGCAAAGTCAATGGG